GGGAAGGGGTACTAAAGTGCCCTCAAGTGGGGACAGGGACTGTGCAGCTGACACTCTGGGCAGGAGGCACAGTACCTCCGCACTTCATGTACTCCGGGCCAGAAGAACCATCGTAGGACTCGTGCCAGGGTCTTCTCTACCCCCAAATGCCCCCCAAAATGATGACTATGAGCAAGACTTAATACAGCGTTCTGGTGTTTTTGAGGTACTAGGATCTTCTGCCCCTGTACTGGTGCAACCCGGTATAAGAGATCCTTCTTCATTATGAAGTAGGGTCCTGGTCCCTAGGTTTTCCCTTCCACGGGGACCCCATCTATTTCAGTCACCTCCTTCCTAATGTTGTCATACCTTGGGTCTTCTGCCTGGTCCCATCCAAAATTTCCTCTCCTGGGGCTAATCTGCCCAAGATCTAGGGGCCCAGTCTCTGTTGCCTCTACTGGTTCAGAAGCATTAGGGTGGGGGTCAGGCGCAGGTGCTTCTCCCTCCTGCATGGCCTCCTTTCCAGCTTCGCGGGTCCGCCTACCTACAAGAGCGACCCTCTAGCTTTGGGTCAGTATTTGGGTTCCCAAGGCCTTAGCTGCCCTTCTTTCCCTTTTTGTCTTTCTATCCTGTCTGGGAGTGGAGAACAAATCTGGGGATATTTCAGAGACGATTGGGGGTTGACAGTCTGCTGTGGATGCCTCACCAATGTTAGGGTCCCCATCTTTCTCCAATCCCCCTACTGGGAGTAAGTTTCCAAACCCTGGGAAGTCCCTCCCTATGAGCACTGGGTATGGGAGTTTAGGGACTACACCTGCTGCTACCTCAGTAGTGTTCCCTTGGATCTCGATTTTTACTGGGATGGTGGGGTAGTAACTAACTGTCCCATGGACACATGTTATCCCCGTACGTTTAGCCTGCAGCAGCTGACTACGCTTCACGAGCTTCCCTGAGATAAGCGTGATAGCACTCCCCGAATCAACCAGTGCCGTGGTCCCTACCCCATTTAGTTTCACTGGTCTGGTATACATATGTGGGATTAGTGAGACCCCCCACAAGGTGGATTAGGGAGCATGGATCTGCCCAGTTCCCCAGGTTACACTGCATAGGCTCCTCAGCATTGGGACACTGTGAAGCTATGTGTCCCCACTCCCCGCAGGCATAACATCTGTATGGAGCCCTTGGCGTTCCCCGGTCTCTTGGTTTGGGCAGTCTAACATCACGATCCTCTTCTCCCTCAGTGCTCCGACTCTTTGTGGCCTCTGATGGGCCTTCAGCCTCTCTCTTTTTCCACCTGGGCCCTCCTGATGGCCCAGTCACCCGAACTTTAGGGCTTGATGCTGCTAGTTTAACCCGGGGTGCCTCTTCCTTAACTCATCGGGTCAGCTCCCTCGCTGTCCTTCACCTCTCTACCAGGGCAACAACCTCGTCATAGGTGGAGGGTTCGTTCTGGCTTACCCAGGCACGAAGGTCTGGTGGTAGTCCCCTCATGTATCGGTCGATGACCAGAACCGTTAGTATCTCTTCCGGACTCCGGGACTCTGTTTGCAACCACTTTCGTGCGAGATGGATGAGGTCATACAATTGGGACCGCGGGATTTTGTCTTCTTGGTACCTCCAACCGTGATACTGCTGGGCCCGCACTGCTGTCGTTACCCCAGATCTGGCCAGGATCTCTGCTTTCAGCTGGATGTAGTCTGCCGCAGCCTCTTCAGGCAGATCATGGTAGGCCTTCTGGGCCTCCCCACACAGGAATGGGGCAAGGATGCCAGACCACTGATCTCGAGGCCAGGCCTCCCGTAGGGCTGTCCTCTCAAAGGCCAGAAGGTATGCCTCTACATCATCCTCCGGTGTCATTTTCTGCAGCCAATGGCTGGCTCGTATGAACCGCGTCCCATCATGGCCGCGATTCAGCTCTGTAAGGGACTTTACCTGGTTTACCAGTTCCCGCAGCATAGCTTGGTCTTGAGCAGCCTGGTCCATCAGCAGGCGATTAGTCTCTTGCTGCAGCCGCACTGCCTCCTGTTGGGCGGCTGCCTGGACACGGGTAGCCTCCTGCTGGGCCGCCGTAGCTTGTATCAGTGCCCACACTACGTCATCCATTGTGGTGAAAAAAAATAAACCTTTTTTTTTAAATCACCCTCCTTCTTCTGCCACGCTGTGCACCCCAAGATCCCACTCCTGACACCAGTGCGACAAAGTTCCTCCTCTATCTTGGTGGGTCCTGCACTTATTGGCAGATTTTCTTGCCTCAGAGATTCACCATGTGGGTTGGAGAACAGCCCAGAGACCTTCCCCTCTGGAAGAACCCACAGTCCAGGTCAATTGGGAGGTTTGGGGGGAACCTGGGCCCGCCCTCTACTCTGGGTTCCAGCCCAGGGCCCTGTGGACTGCAGCTGTCTATAGTGCCTCTTGTAACAGCTGCATGACAGCTACAACTCCCTGGGCTACTTCCCCATGGCCTCCTCCAAACACTTTCCTTATTCTCACCACAGGACCTTCCTCCTGGTGTCTGATAACGCTTGTGCTCCTCAGTCCTCCAGCAGCACACCCTCTCACTCTCAGCTCCTTGCCCCTCTTGATCCCAGCTCCTCACACTCGCCCCACAAACTGAAGTGAGCTCCTTTTAAAACCCAGGTGCCCTGATTAGCCTGCCTTAATTGATTCTAGCAGCTTCTTCTTAATTGGCTCCAGGTGTCCTAATTAGCCTGCCTGCCTTAACTGGTTCTAGCAGGTTCCTGATTACTCTAGTGCAGCCCCTGCTCTGGTCACTCAGGGAACAGAAAACTACTCATCCAGTGACCAGTATATTTGCCCTCTACCAGACTCCTGTACCCCACTGGTCTGGGTCTGTCACAACGCATAATTTAGAACTAAAATGGGTGATTTGGAACGGTGACATAGTAAAAAGACTTCCCTGAAGGGATAGGAAAGGAAAACTTTTAAAGATATTGAAACTGTGTGAGGAGAGCTTCTGGGAACAGGAGGAAGAAATTCTCTGCATAGATAGTGCACAACAGGTATTGTTTGCTCAGATGGCAATAGGGTTTTACCTTAAGGATATACTTGTCCAGCTGCTCTCCTCCATCTGAGCATTAGAAGAGAGAGAGCAGGGAGGCTTCATGTTACATAGCAATCTGCCCCTGGATCCCACTTAGGGAATCAAAACTAAAACACACGGCATAATCCTGTTCTGGCCGGCACATATCCACCTCTGACAGATACCTGAAGGGTTTTTCTCTCTCTCTCACTTTTGTGCCAATTAAGTCTCAGTTAATGAACTGATACTGTCCTTTGGAAGTGCAAGGACAAAAGGGATTTTTGAAGAATTGTCTCTGATCACCTTAAAGAGAAGGAAGCTCAGCAGAATCACCAAAGCACTGTACCAGACCAATATAAAACACCTGTGTGTAGAAATTTTTCCATTCAAGTTTAACAGAAAATGGCTATTTTTAGGTTTTGGCAGTCAGCATTTTTGGATTGTTTTTTGTTTTTTTTTTTTGTGGTTTTCAGCAACCGAAAAACAAAATTTTGGGATGTCTTGAAGGTTTTCTTTTTCTTTATTTCTACCAAAACATTTCACCTGACCAATTGCATTTTTTTCAGTTTTGGTTGCTGAAAATTGAAAAGGTTTTTAGATAAAAATTTGAAAATTTCCACAGAAAAAGTTTGACTAAAACAAATGTAAGTTTTATCAAAATTTTTCACAGGAAAAAAAAATCAGTCCCCCAGCCATTCTACTTCTTGGGGATCCCTTTTATAAGCTCTGCTTCTCTAATGACAATCAAGGTTTCCCTTTCAGAATGGTTACTAAAGGAGAAAAATTGCTACATGAACCATGGTCACATTGTGCGATAGGGCAGGAACTGGGACAAGTAGAAGTTCTGTCCATGCAGCAGCAGGTCAAGTCTCAAAGGACCAGGAAGTCACCTTCGGAAGAGAGCATATAGATCTGAATAAGGAAGATGTATGAAAAGATGTGTGAGGTGGGAGTCTAGATCCTGGCAACCAGGTGAGGTAAAGCTAGAAAAAGCAAGTCCTTGGAGTATGATGGAACTTGGTTTATCTCTATTAGTTACAGATTATTTGCATTTGGGTTGCTGATCTAGACATGGTAATCCAGGGACAGCACTCTGTAGGGAGAGGGAACTAATTATATGCTTACTGACAGCTACTCAGAAGAGGAGTTGTATAATCCTATCCTATCCTAAACAAACATAATTACTAACATTTTACTATTAGAATAATTTGTTTTAATAAGAAATTACGAAGAATCTCACTGCTAATGATAGGTTTATTTGAATGGGTCTTGTGGGGTGAGAGAAACAAAATGAAGTTTATGAAAGCACTGTAGGGCAGATCTTGAAGTTCTCTCCTCAGATTTGCTGTGGCTAGGTAATGAAAGCACACGGTACACCTTATGTGCCAAGGTGGAGAGATGGTAGACAGCTGACCCATAACTGAAATGTGTCTGTAGGACCAGTGTCCATGGACAGGCAGTAGTGCCCAACATGAAGAAGAGATTCCCAGGAATGGATGATAATCATGTGGGAGCATGGAGTTAGGGAAGGGAGCAAAAACAGGGTTCAGATTTGCAGTAAAAGCACCCAAAACATGCTTAAAAAAAAAAAAGTATCTTTGGAATACTGATGGAAAAAGTTTATACTTGCATTAGCAGCCAACTGAATAGTGGTAACAATGAAAATAACTGACTTGGAAAAAGAAAGTTATAGCATACAAACAATACATAAGTTGTGTCAATGGCAATCCCAAAATTTCAGTGACTTACTCCTAAAGTCAGAGGTTTGAACTATCCTCAATTTTTTTCTTAGATTTCAAGATCTTCAGTGCAGTGCTGTCTTCATGTGTTTGTACAGTACTGAGCACTAGAGTGCCCTGATTCTGATTGGGGCCTCTGGGCACTACTGTTACAAAAGTATTACACAACAATAAAACAAGACTTGGCTGAATTTAAAAGAAATGCATTCAGAAATAAAATTGATATACAAACTATCTTAACTTGAAGATAGAAAAATAGAACTGCTTCTGAACATTTTTCCTAAGATGATAAAGTACTTTTTTATTCAAAATAACACAAAATTATGACAAAATGCTCAGGGCTACATCTTACTCTTAATAGTAATCAAATGTAATCCTTTCAAATAGGAAGTATTTTTCTCTCATGAAAATATGCTATTTGCATTTCCCTGCTAATACAGTTGCCAGATTCCCTGGATAACTGCAAGAACTTCTAAGCAGTAGTTTCATTTTCCCCTTCAAATTTCAGAAAAGAATATATATATTTTAAACCCTTGCACAGTTCCTTAGTTAAGTGTTTCATTTGTGTGAAATTGGTGAGACACCAAAAAAAAAAAAAAAAAAAAAAGGTTCTACATTAATTTCATAGCAGGCTTGCAGTCCTTTTTTCTGTTGGGAAAATTCTGACAGTCACACTAGAAAATATAGAGTCATTGAATACTATGCTGTTTCCTTTAGAATCACTGTAGGAGAGAGTTGTTCAATACTTACCAAAAGTGTTATATTAAAGTTAGACTTTTGACATTCATCTCAACAGGATTTACTGAAGTAAAACCATGTATAGTTAATATGAAATCAGTGTGTGTATGATTACATATGTTCTGAATGTTTTCATTTAATATCTGGGAATCTCTCCAGATAGCCTAAGTTTGAAATCAGTAACTGTTTGTCCTTTTAAAATAACATTCTAAAAGGGAGATGACATTAGAGCAGTTGCAGCTAATCAAGATGCCCTCACTTGTGTATTCAGTCTGACTGGTTAATGTTACTCCAGATCTTAGTAACAGACATTAGAAAAGTTCAATAATAGAAACTTACAGTTTATGAGTCTGTTCATAGCCAATCACGAGCCAGCATTTCTTTTGTAACAACATATACATTTCATTACTTGACCAATTGGATGAATTCACTTCCAAATGCACCTCAACAAGTTTCCTTTGCAAGCTGTCACTTTTCATGTGTATATTGCCTTTATATCAAACTGCCTTTCAAAAGAATGCTAGGTCATAAAAGGATTGTGGGCAATCCAACAAGACAATCAAATCAGAAGAATATATAATATATAAGCAGACTACAATAATTTGACCAGAAGTTGAGAAAAAAGACCATTTCTGTTGAGCTATTACATGTCCACTTTTGATAATGTAATTTTTTAAAAATAAAACCCCTCATATATTGATCATTGTGTCATATAAATAGATTCATTTGGTTGCCTTATGAAGCCAAATGTACCAAATGAATATCAAAACTCATTGAAAATGTCAATATATCTTAAAATTGTATGCTGTGGTAGAAAATTCCATACATTCATATAATCTCTTTACCAACCATGTACAAGTTTAAGATATGTTGAAGTCCTCAACAGGATCTGACATACTTTATTGTTGAAACAAATGTAATACATTAAGATAAATAAACCATAAGGAAAATCTGCATATAACATTCCTTACCTTTTGGGCTGCAGAATACATGCTAGCCATTTTCAACTCTAAATTAAAAGACTTTTACCATTTTCATGACATTTTATATAGCCCATGAAAGCGCATGTATAATAGTTCACAAAGAGGTGCTAGGTAGCCTATAATTATAAAAAACCTTGCATTTCTGATATATTCAGTTTGCTAAAAATATGTACTAAAATTAAAGGTAGGATGCAGACATTGTGGTATAAGTTCATTATCTTTGGTAAAATGTTCTCACTTTATTTATAACCATATTTGCGCTGATATCCATTTTGTGTATGGTCTGCTATTACTTATGCCAACAGGAAACATTTAAGTGAATTTAAACAGTATTAGATTATTCAGTACAATCATGACTTTCATCATACATTCTTTTAGGATGTTGCTAGCACATAGGGGAAAATGTGTGAGTTCTACTATCTACTGTGACTTACTACTGCTTTAACACTGTAAAATAACTGCTAATTCTTGCCATTAGAAAAAAATATTATTTTTTTTTTAAAAAGGGGTCAACATGATTCTGAGAACAGTAAATTCTAAAAAAATGAAGTAAAAATATCAAGTATTTTGTAGTTTAATACAATTGCTAAAATAGAAATTTACACTGGGGCTTAACTGAAATGTGATACTATGATCCATCTAAATAAATAACAAAAGAGGACCACAGAGAACCTCAACAAATCTCAAGATGTTCAAGGGATGGTCAGTGTTAAATAATCACTGCCATGACTAACATCTAACGGAAGGCTCGATTCTCTCACACCGTTGACATCAACGGACATCCTGCTTTAGAGCAATGTAATTGAGAGGAAAATCAGGTTCTGATTTTAATGCAGCACTCTCCAAGGACAGATCAGAAACTGTGAAGTCAGAATGGAGTTAGGATGTTCTTCATTATAACTGATCATATTAACAATGCAATCTTGATCATCTGAACCTAAGTTAATCATACAAGAATACATTTCCAGATAGCTATTAATTACACTAAATCAATTTGGATAATCAAAGGAAATTTCAATATCCCTATGACATTCGGAGACTCCAGGTTGTGCTGTATTCACACAAACACACCATATCACCACAGCTCATAGGTGGAGACCCTGCAGCATTCAATTCTACCACAGAATCAAATCTTTGTATTTACCTTTTGCTTATTAAATATTTGATTTAATACTGGAAACTTTGGAATCATAATTCTGATGAAGAATAAGGACTTAAATGTTTTTTCTACATTCCTTGTTTCAAGTACTTTTTCTAACAGGCAATATCAACACATTCAGCTGGTAAAGGGCTTGATTCTGTTTTGTAACCCTATTCACTGAAGCAGTTCCCAGTAGTCATATTGAAGACAATGAAATAACTTACATGAGTAAGAGTGAAGGATCAGGTCTACGGTCTCAACATAAAAACACATTGTGTCTAATCAAGTCTTAGTTCTTATAGCAATGGAAATAATACATTGGTAACAGTCAAAAAGGAAATTACATTTGACCCAGTATTGACCTTGTGTTATTTTCATTATCAAGAACAAAACAAAGGGATAACTGTAATTACTGTAGTAACCAAGTCTGATGTTTCAATCATTCTCAATGAACATGGCACTTTCAAAAACAAAATTTGCAAGTTAAAAAATAATTCAGATTCCAAATTATTTAACCTTGATGTTTAAAAGGGTTTAATGCAAAACTGCCCCGAAGAGCACAATGATTTTTAAAAAGGTTTTTTTTATTATTAAAAAAGTGATAAAAATGGAAGACGCAAAAGTGGGGAGAGGACGAATACACTTAATACATGTATTTGCACCAGCGAAAGTCATACTCTTAATGAGTCATTAGTGACTTCATCACTGATCACTTATGGTCTTTATCATGTACAAATGCAGTAAACCACTTCCCACTGTTGCAGTGCCCTTATATGTGCAACACACATATTAAAAAGTAACAATCTTAGCGCCCAATATTCCTAGGGGCTGATCGCCCTTAGATTCCATAGTAAGATCAGGCTCCCAGTCTAGAACAAAATATGCTCTTCCCAAATAATTTAGTGGTCAAAGTCTGAAGAATTTAGAGAGCCTGTCACTTTTTTGCTTTCTTGGCTTTTTTCAGTATATCACACTTTTTCCTGTTGGGACGCCGGCATCTTTCATCAATGCTCGGTATACATTCATAATGCCACACTTCTTCCATTTTCTCCACGGGGTAAACTGCTTCAACATAATGACGGATCAATCTGAGTCTGGTGGGATCAAGTTGCTTCTTGTTACAAGCACCTGAATGGTTATATTGCAGTCTGAGATTCTCTGGAGTAAAGAGCTCTGGAAAGAGTCTTACTAGAAGCCTGGCAGCAAAGTTTCCCACAGAAAGGCTCTGCTGTACTATCTCTCTTACCTCTTTATCAGATAGCATGTACAGAGAAGGCACAGGGAAGTCTGGAGAAGGAACGACAAGTTCGTCAAGTGGTATCTTGCAAAAATCTTTGCTGCTTCTTTCTGGCGGCAGTGGTGGCCCTTCAAACTCTTCTCTGAATCTTTCTGGGTTTATTGCATAGGTAAGAAATTCTCTCCTCTCAGGCCCTGGAACATGAACTTTCCGCTGCTGTTGGTATGTGCGCCTCTGTTCGGTATCCCTGCGTCGACATCTCTCATCAAGCTTCCCAACAAATTCCAATGTCCATACTCTATCGTTCTTTGCTCTTGGGTACAATATTTGCACATAGTGTCGAATTAATTTAATCCTGGTTGGATCAAGTTGTTTCTTGCCTAGTGATCCGCTACAGTTGTATTGCTTCCTTAGATTTTCATGAGTAAACAGTTCAGGGAATAAGTGAACAAGCAATCGAGATGCAAAGTTTCCTATGGACAGACTGCTTTCATATATATTTTTAATTTGTTCCTTGTTCAACAGGTAATCCGGGATAGGAACATCAAAATCGGGAGGGGGAATGTCAAGTTTATCAAAGTCTATGGGCACAAGCCAAATCTTTTTTGACCTTCTTCCTGGCCTTTCATATTCAAAGCTGTCTTCCACTTTTATGATAGATACATCATCAGGCAAACTAGAAGAATCATAGCAGTCGTCTCTCATCTGTTCACACTCACTCCCATCCATATACATACTTTCAAGTTCATCATTTATTCGCTGTGCACACTGCTGCAACCACGCCTCCTCTTCCTGCACATCAGGAAAGTAAATTTCTGTGTATCTTCGAATTATCTGAAGTCGATGAGGATCCAGCTCTTGCTTCCCAGAATCTCCATAGCAGTTATATCTTTCAGCCAGGTTCCTGTGGTCAAAGAGCTCAGGAAACAATCTGTGTAACAAAAACACAGAAAATTCCCCAGGGGATGAAGCTTCATCTAAAAATTCATTGAGATCCTGAGCATCTAGAACATAATCTGAGGTGGTGGCATTATCCCTGTCCAGGGACAAAGCTTCCTCCTGCTCTTTATCCTCAATGAAATGAGAGGACTCTACCTGTTCAGACTCATAAAAACTGGATGACTGCACACTTTGCTGACTATTTTCCATTTCTCTTTGTGCCCAAAACCTACTGAAAAAGTCATTAACTTGGGGCAAACACTCCACCTGCCACACAGCATTATTCTTCACAGAAGGATAACAAACTTCCACATAGTTTCGGATAAGCTGCAGATGAAGCGATTCAAGCTTCTTTTTGTTAAGGAAGCCACATGTGCTGCAGCTCCTGTTGAACTCATCATCGCTGAAGAGCTCTGGGAAAAGCTGAACTAGTAACCGGCAAGCCAAATCTCCACCTGATGTGCTCTGATCCATGATCTGTTTGAGTTCTGCAGCGGTTAGCTGGTACTCTGGGGGAGGCCTGAACTCTGCTACAGACTCTGTTGGGCTGACATGCTTTTTAATTCTGCTGACCTCAAGAGACAACAGGTCAACCTTGCTGTGAAGCTGAGACATATTGGAATTCAGGGTGTTGAGGGTGTAAAACATTTTCTGTATCAAAGAATATATGTTTGGATCAGAATCTGCGGTGGAAGCTGTAACAGCGATGGTAGCAGCAGAATCCCTTTTGCGTTGATCACTCAAATTCCGCAGATGGGAGGGGCTGCTTGGGTTGACCTTTTCAAACAGCTCATAAGAAGAAAACTGCTCTGCCCCTGGTGTGCTCTTCTTCTCTGTAATTTTGTGTGAGATGCCATACAGAGGTTTCTTATAGGATGGAGTGGTCACGTCATTGAAGGGTTCTTCTTCACACAGCCATGTTATATTGGGATTCTTGTTCTTGTTAGGCTGCTCTACGTTTACCTGAGTGGGTGACCCAATATCTCGGTTCTTCATGTTTGAAACGAGGCCCTATAAATCAACAAACGTTGTATTAGTAAGACAGTTTGCTTTAAAATCATAGCTACAAATTTGTGTTCCACAGGTAGGCGTCATTAAATAAATATGCACTGCCTAATTTTCATCAATGAACCCAACTGTGCTATATAAATCAAGTTCATAAATGTATTGAAGGAAAACAATCACCAAACATGCTTTACAGGGAAAGTATTATTTAACTTCTTTGTTCATGACCTCTGTTATGCAATAACTATACAATTATAATACTTAGCATTTTTACCCAGAGAGCTTTAAATGCTATCATTACCTCCCACTTTGTGTCTGAGGAACTTGGGTGGCAGAGAGGCTGAGTGAAAGTAAGTCAGTGACACAGCCAAGAACAGAATTCATGTTTTCTGATTCCGAATCCTGTGACCTAGCCACAACCTCACTGCTCCCCCAACTGTATTTTAATGTTTCATTAGTCTCCCTATTACCACCTAAGGAGGACACTGTGGTCCAACAGCCTTGACAGGTGTGTTAATTTTTTCTCCTTTTGCTCTGAAAAATGTATGCAAGTATTTATCCCCAGCTGTCCAATTCAGGGACAACTCTATGATACCAACCCAACTTAAAAAACCCCAATATAATTAGTGAAAAGGCCTTTTAAAAATGAAAGTAGAATGATCTGTTTCTGAAAGACAGAGACATTTATATTCATTGAATTCCTCATGGTTCTAAACCAGTTAGTAGTGAAGTCTTTAAGAATTCATGCTATAAATTATTTTTAAGCACTGCATTTCCTAACCGTTCCTCATTGTTTGAGTTCTGAAGCAAATGTTTTCATTAATTCACTGTCAATATTTAGCTCATCATTTATTTATTTTTGCAAGCACATGGATATTGTGAATAACTCCTAGAAAATTAAGTAGGTGAACAACAACAAAGAATTACAATACACAGAACTCAAAAACATGTGAAAACACACACACATTTTGAATTTGACCATATTGAATTTTTCCCCAGCTTGCTAGACAGAATATTAATTAGACAAAAAATAAAGAACTTGCATTCAAATATTAAAAAGCAATGAAATACAGACTATGGGCCTGAGGTTAAGAGGTGATGAGCAACTGTAAGTCCCGTCCTAGGATCAGGCCCTTATACTGTGGATCTTCTCTGAAAAACAACAGTGTAAAAAAAAATGGCAGCACCTTCTTACTCAGCTAATCTGCTTCCTATGTGTATTCACACTCATATCTGCTTACCCTAGTGACAAAAATAAGTTTACACTACTTTTTAGTCCTATAAGCAATGCAGAGCCCAAACACGTAGGGGAGATCAAGCTGGGTTCTATTCTAGCTCATGCATCATCACCAGAATAAGCTAAATTCCAATTGCAGTGCCATATCTTGCCCATTTACACAAATGTAACACCAGTGAAGATCATGAGGTTGCACAGGTGATAAGTGAGGGTGTTAATGGGTTCAATTTAGAGTGCAGAATCCTATCAGCAATGGTAAGGGCGAGAAGCTTGATTTTCAGATCCAAGTTGATTCTGCAGGGATAGCTATTAGAAACTTTCCTCTCCAGTTTTACTTGTAAACAAAGCACATTTGAGATGGACTAAATGAGACATGATAAACATGGAGCAACACCAAAACATCATTTTTCAGAGAAGTGGGAAGATGTGGCCTAACTAAAGCACCTGTTATAAGATTCAGTAATACCAAGGCACAACAGACAGAATTAAGAACAGGGATCTCTGGCTTTTCAGATTAAAAAAAAAAAAATCAACATTATAAAGAGATTTGAACATATGGTGAAACTTGCTCTTATCTGGTAACCTCATGTCTTCAGAGACTGCCCCAAATTATCCTCATATATAAAGAGTACAATTTGGCTCCATCTTTGTTAGAAGGCTTGTTATGATAAGCAAATCATTTGTTAGTCCTTTCCACCATAGGTTTTTTTTGTGTTCAATGAAGCAATAAAACATGACAATCTGAGGGTAGTCCTGATTAATGCTCAGCTCAAGTGAAGAGGCAGGAACAAGGCAGTACCTGGGAAGTGTATTAATCAGCATGGAGTCATCATCTAAAGTGCCTTATTTCCCTTCTAAAATGAATACATAAAAGTTAACATTCTTGGGGTTGGATGGGGCCCTTTGGAAGAAAAGAAGTGCTTACGCTGAGAATTATGGCAGATCTCTGTATGTTGTAAGGGCAGCAGAACTTCTGCCCTTTCACTAATGCAGCTCACGATGTTTGGATCTGGTTGTGGGAGGAATTTGTAGATCTGCATTTCAGAAACACACGGTCAATGTTCAGCTAACAGCTAGTGCCACATCTGGGACTAGATTTAAGCATTTTCTGTTAATCTGGGATACCTTGTTCTGCCTTCAGAACATTCTCCTTGCCTCCAGTAATAAACTTGACACTATATAGATATTATTGCCAGCTGGATATAGCATTATCTGAAGCACACAGAGTATTTTTGGTGAAACTTCAGAATAATCTATTGTGGAACATTCTTTTGTATTATCCATAAGGACCCTGGACTTTAAGCACAGATGTGTGTATGTATTTCAGATAATGCTATACACAGTTAAAAAGATTATCAGTTTACTGTACTACCAAAAAAACTACAAGGCAGATTGTTCCATATGAGCTACAGGCACATAATACCATGCTACCTACACTGTCATAGGAAGCTACTGTGTTAAATACTGTTGCTGAGCTTTTATGAAATGTAAGTATTTTGCTATTGTGGAATAATCTTTCATATTATATTTTAGGACCACGGGCCCAGATTTTAAGAAGTATTTAGGCTTTGTTCCATTCAGCATTGCAAGTCTTAAGGTTCATTTTCAAAAGTGGCTCAGGCACTTATGAGCCCAAGTCCCACTGACTTACTCAAAGTATTTAACAACTTGACTTTTGGTCACCACCAGAACTGGAAAGTAGAGAGAAACGCACAAATAAAAACATTAGTATTAAAAAAGTTAGCCTCTCAAAGGTTCTGTTAGAACTTCAGACTAAGATTGTGGTTGGTTATTTATTCTAAACATGCTGATTCATCACTAGAGTCAGTCGTGAATAAATTTTCACTCTAGTTATTGGGTTAGGTTCTGGCCCCATTGTAAATCTAAGGCAACTACAGTAACTCCTCACTTAATGTTGTAGTTATGTTCCTGAAAAATGCAACTTTAAGTGAAATGATGTTAAGCGAATCCAATTTCCCCATAAGAATTAATGTAAATAGGGGAGGTTAGGTTCCAGGGCAGCTTCCCTACTCTGCAAGCACCAGGGGCGGGGGGCTCAACCCTCAGCCCGCCCACTCCACCCCTTGCCCCAAGCCCCCACCCTTGACCTGCCTCCCCCCCTCCATGTCCTTCCCCTTTACTTCACACTGTGTCCTGGCTCCCCCCACCCCACCCTTCTAAACGCTGCAAGCCAGCTGATTGCTGGGTTCCGGAGGCAGGGGAGGGAGAGGGGAGGGGTGCTGAGTCCTCGCTCCTCCCCCCTCCCTCCTGCCTCCAAAACGCTGCAAGCTAGCTGATTGCCACCGGCAGGAGGGAGGGGAGAGGCGTGCCGAGTCCTCGCTCCTCCCCCCTCCCTCCTGCCCGGGGCAATCAGCTGGCTTGCGGCGTTTGGGAGGCAGGGGGAGCCAGCGCGCCGAGTCCTCGGTCCTCCCCCCTCCTTCCAAAACACTGCAAGCCAGCTGATTGCCATGGGCAGGAGGTGGGGGAAGGCACTGATCCGCAAGGTCTGCCGGTGGGCGGGAGGCGCTGGGGGGCGGGGCGTACGAAGGCTGCCAGCTGTGGAGAAAGCAGGCAGCCAAACAACGTAAGAGTGGAGCATTGCCCAACTTTAAATGAGTATGTTCCCTAACTGATCAGCAACGTCACAACGAAACAACGTTAAGCAGGACGACTTTAAGTGAGGAGTTACTGTATCAACTTCAAATAACTTCTAATTTACAGTGGTTTCACTGAGATCAGAATCTGTCCCACTGTACATAATCTGGAAAAATTACAACCCTGGTCTGGCAATTGGGTTAACCCATGGGGATCTGATTGCAGGACTGAGGCTTAATTTTCTAATGAAACTACTAACAAAATCTTTACTGTAGGGACATGAGAGGGGGTCTATGATCAGTCAGACCCAGTTAATCCAAACCAGTATGAGAATTCCATGTTTATAAGCATTATTAGAAACAAATAATTGCTTCAGATAAAAACAATTAATGGTAAAATTTATGCTGTAAAATGGGATACTGCTCACATCATTAAAAAATATCCAGATAAGTAGTATGGGTAAACTAGGCAAAGATTATAGTCATGTCGGACTATAAACAAATTAATTGCTGGTGTGTATTGATTTAAAAGAGTTGTGCTCTGCTTACACCAGCAGTAAATTTGGCCCATAAAATCTGAACAGTACATCATGCATAGCCACATGTAGAGAAATCACCTCTTGAGTAAAGCGTCTTTTCTTCACACTGGGTAAAACCTCTTGCTGGCTCCCTGAACCATCACAACCAAGTGAGGTCTGTTTCCGTTTGTTAGAATCCTGTAGGCAAGTAACTGAGCCATCCAGTGAGTGTTTCTCAGGAGATCTGGATGTCACGGAGCAGTCTAGTGCTTCATCTTCATTTTCTGTTTCTACTTTCACAAGATTATTTTTTATAATTTTAACTAGAAAAAGAGAAGGTGTAGAACAATCAAGCACTTCCTTCAGAAATTCATGATACCCTTACAACAATGTGCTTTCTGTTTGTTCTTCTGAAACTGCCTTTTGAATAGTGTCATTATTATTTATCATTATATAATGGCAACATCTTGAAGCCTCAAGTCCCCAAGTTGGGGCACCATTGTGGTAGGAACTGTACAAACATATAATAAGTGACAGTTCCTGCCCCAAAGAGCTTACAGCCTAAAAAACAGTACATAGCGGGTGAGTAGGCAGGTAGTACAGTAGGCACAAGTTTGGGGGAGGGAGAAGGATGATGGGTAACAAAAATAATAATAGGATGTTTTAGCAGCTAACTTTTCAGTCATTGTTATAATCGTTGCTTTATCACAATGCATTCTTCATCTAAATCTACAAAGTCTTCATACAACTAGTATTTTTTATCTGACTAGAAAATAAACAAGATATAGCATTTTACCTTCATCATCATCATTGAATTCAGCTGAGTTCATCTTCTAGCCCACTAAAAAACAAAAAAACAAAAAAAAAAGACGACAGTAGTTTTTTAGAAACAGGGCATGGGTTGTATTTTCAGCATTTTGTTGAAAGAGGTCAGAAACCTGCTATCTACAACTATTTGCTATCCCTGGACAATATTAACAGTTCTTGGGAAATTTCCTATCTGCTCCATTTTTACTCACATTATAACAGGCAGCCACTTTTCTTATGTGTTTCCTGGACACCTGCAGATCTGCCCAGCAGTGTAAATTGAACAGAAAACAACCTGAGACGGACAGAAAAGTAAGATGATTTAACACTGAAGATTTTTTCTACTGTGAAGAACATTAGTTCAGTTGTTTTAACTTTCTATATAAGTAGAAGTGTCTTGGCAGTGCGTAAATAAAAGTTCTCTGAATGGGTTTTTTTGGCCACATTGTATTAAGTGGCCACCTGTTATAAGAGCCAAAAAACTTTGGAGGCCCAAGGGTGTCCAACAAGTTTCACTGTAGGTCAATTTCCGGTGTTCACCACAGCTGAAAAATGCAACACAAACTATTTTATAATTAAGGGTTAAACTAGATGACCCTTGCCGTCCCTTCCCTATGATTCTATAATATGTCCAGGCTGTCTGAATAAATTTCCATTAAAAAAACGGCTATTTTGATGTGGATTGTGATATTGAAAAACCAGCAACCTATAGATTTACAGTAACAAATGTTTTTATAATTATTAACTGGTGGCCTCCAAAGAACATCAGAATACTTTTTTAAAGGAAAAACAAAACATTTTCTACATTTCCATAAACCTAAGATCACATGTCATTTGTTATAAACTCCAAATTCTGGGCATGTCTCAAAAAAGAAAGCTTCAAACTCCAATGAGTACAGACGGAGCAAGCATCCTCACCCGGCTCTCACTAGCCATTTAGAAGTACACATCCACCAACAGTGCCAACCAAAATTGGATACCTTTTAAATCAGCCATACATAGTTCAGATTATCCAGATACATGTCTAGCCTCATAAGCTCGCCTGGCCAAAAAAAAAAAAAAAAACTTATTTGAAATACACAAAAACTTCCATAACTACATGGCTTTTCAAAATAGACTTCTTTCACCAAATCATACCCTTCCTCTGGTCAAGCTCTGAATGGGTCAATACTGCCCAAGTCACCCATAACCAGAGATTTTCTGGTTAAATACACACCCACGCGCAAGCACACACACACATATTTATGTCCCATGAATATGCCTTATAAAACAAAAGAAATTTTGAAAGACTGTAAACAAAGAATTTCAATTGTAGTCTTATTATCTAATAGCTGTGTTCAAAATGATTTTAAAAGAATCTCAAGTACTGTTAAAATGCTTTATGTTAAATACAAACATTTGAATACTGTGCATGCTTTCACTTTGTTAGTGGCTGGTAGCTATTAATAGTAAATATAATTAATACATTCAGTGTGAGATTTTGTACATGTGACTAACAGTCACAACACAGAACTCAGAGCCCATGGGGAGGGAGGGTGGGCTAAAGTGCCTTTAAGTCACCTTTGCGCTCTCCTTATTCTGGACTATTCCAGGACCCCTCCTGTCCTCAGCACACTCCCTATATAAGGGTTTGGGAGGGGGTCCGTGGAGGACAGTACTCTGCTTTGGTCCTTTTACTCAGCATAATTCTCCCCCCTGGTTTTGACTCTTAACTTGCCTACATAAAAGTTATGCCAGTTTAACTAAAATTAGTCTTTTTTACGTCACTTTAGTTAAACTGTTGCAAACATCTGTGAGGAGACACTTAAATTGGTTTATAAATGACTTATGCCAATTATTAAACCAATTTAAAAGTGTGTCACTCCAGGGGTTTGTGCTGGTTTAACTAAATCTATTTTAAAATGGATTTTCATTCAACCAGTGCAATTTATGAGTTTAGGCAAGGGCTGTACAATCCTTTCTGAAAAATCCTGAAAGGACAGCACTGTGGCCTGTGCTCTACGAGAAAGTTAAATTGAATTGAACTTGCCTTGATATCCCATATACGACATTAAACTTCCAGGCCAGTGACTATTACATTTCATTTCATTTTATTGTAGAAGGCACAGCTTTGTGAAGACATGGCACAGTGCCAAAAATGTGGGAGTGACAAGGAAGAAGATGACAGCTGAATGTAGTTGCTGAAAATTTTGTATTTTTGGAAGGCCCAAGTAGGCAACCAAGCAGACATCCTTATAACAATCACATACTATATAGGAAGTCAGATTTTTCTAGGTTTTTCAGGCAACTCCTTGGGGCAGCACTGTCAGGGATCATGCTGACTGAGAGAGGTGGCAAACATAGAGCCAGAGACAGAAAAGAATAGACAAATATAAATATATATATAAAGAAAAAAGAGAAAGATAACAAAACCAGTGTACAGCCTCCTTCTGTAGGGTGATACACATGGAATGATATTTTTCTTCTGTCACTGCTGTTCAAACAACAGGTAGAACACTTTGGGAGAGATCTTTCCGACAGGAGACAAGTGGGTTGGAAGCAAGAGGTATGTGAGGGTTTGAGAATCACAGTTGGAGTTAGGAATATGAAGAGAGGGTATGTAGTTGCAGAGCCTCTTTTTGAGAAGAATCCTGGACCAGAGCTAGCCAGAGGGAAATGGGCTAGGGAAAAAGACAGAAAACAACAGAATCAAGGAAAAAATGGTGCAACAAATAATCAAATTGAGAAATCCACCTGAGAAGGTAAGTGAGCTCCTGGTTGTTGATTCTCATTGCACTGAGCGTATGAAGGGGTTGAAATGTTGCCTGATCTGTCTTGTTTCAATATAAAATTAAATCTCTCTCCCTCACCCTTTTGTCTCTAAAACAGTCACTAGTTCTAGAGAAGAATAAACAGATGCAGGGCAGAAAACAGTAGTACTGAAGTACTTATGTAATGTGGCCTGGGAATTTGGGTTTGTAGCCATGACTACCAGAGATGGGAACTCAGGGACATCCACCCTTAGCTACAGTATCTTGCTGGGAAAAGGATCAGAGCTGCAGCTTGTGTCTTGTTTCCCAGGAAACTGGATTTAGGAGCCTGATAGACCATAGCCATTTTGCATACCAAATACCCACAACAAGAAAACCATACTCTACACTAATGGCCAAATCCTGCTCCTACTGAGATCAACAGGAGTTTTGCAATAGACTTCAGTGGTATCAGAATTTAGCTGAAATTGCTTGTTAAATTTAATTTGTAGTTACCTAGCCATTTTGAGTTAAACAAAACAAACAAAAAAGCATCTTAAACCGGTAAACTTCAATTTTTAGGGTTGTTGCTTGTTTGAACACATTTAAAACAATAACTTGGTTCAGGCATTTTAAGTGTTTGCTCTTGGTTAAAACACATTTATTCCTGGGTTCATACGTTGCGTGCAAAGTTTCATTCTAGATAATTTTTATTTATAAATAAAAATTGTCTAAAAAAAGGTCTATAATAGAAATACTAACAGTGTTACCCAAAGAATCCACTATTAACATATAGAATTTTTGTTCAGAAAGACAATCAATTCTTACAACTGTGATCATGGGTTTGCATGCTGAAAATGAAGCAAGTATACTTACTCTCGATCTTTCCTCAAATTTGCACCCAAATGTGCCCCTTATTAAAGGCATCTGCAATTTTATTTCTATTGGAGATCCTAGCTCAAGTTATCCATCCAAAGAGAAACTCAAAGAGGTGCAATATTCAAATAGATTCAATGTTCAAGGAAGAAGAGGCAGAGCAGTCTCACCATTTGACAGTGGACTCCATCCCCAGGATGTAAGCAATAAGTCATTGAAAAAGATTTCCTAATGCCTGCACCAGAACCTTATGTTTGAAAACAGTATGCAACATTTACTTTAATGTAATTAATGTTTAACTCATAAACAACTAAACATTTTACTGACATAGCACGTGCCCACACTTTTACGACTAACATAATGCCTCTCTTGGCACTATGTGTTGGTGAAGGTGGCATCATGTAAAGTATGTATACTGCTTTGCACTGTTCCTGTGAGATGCCACTGTTTGTGTTGGAGTTCACATATGAAGAGACCAACGTTCCTTTTTACTAAGCTTGCTATTTCAGTCTTCAAGACTAAGACATACTTCAAAATTTTCAGATTTCTGAAAAGACTTAGCCACGCTAGTTAAAAAAAAGTTTCCATTCTTCTGATTGAGATAGTCTATAGTTGTCTAGATAGTTTCATCCATTTGTCTCAGGGAAAAAATTTCTTGCATCTTAAACACGGATATGAAATGAGTCAGTACTTTTCAAACTGGTCTGTGAAGCACTTGTCCACAGAAAATGGTTTGGTCATATGGCACTGGGTCTCCTTGCTTCCAGCTGCTAAACTGCATTTAAATAAGTTAAACATGCACTAAGTACCTTCCTAATGTTACTTTCCCGTGTGAAAACATGTCTCCTTGGTGTAATGCAGTTGATGCTATGGGGCTAAAATACGTTCAGAATTTGCGTTGCTATTTGCTCGCCTGTAATGCTAAACAAGAAACTATGCAATCAAGAATAGAAGTGGTTCATGAGACAAGCTATTGAGATGTCCATTCTATGAAAAATGTCAGAAATAAACATAAATCTCAAACACTCAACAGTTTGGCATAATGTTTTCATAAGACATTACAGGGGAGGAACAGCAAAGCAAGTTCTGAATGTATTTTAGCCCCATAGCATCAACTGCATTACAACCAAGGAGACACATTCACTGTAGTCAGGTACCTTCAATTTTATGAAAAAATAATCCTCTGGACAGAAAGTGCTTACATGCGTTCTTAGAATCATGGAACTTACAGGTGTTATAGACCTAGCCTTGATGGCTTCTTCTATAGGTATGCTACATCACTACCTCAAACACTTCCTTCTCACTTCATCATGACACCTTTAATATGTAAGTCAGTAACTATTTACAGATGTATATATTCACTTTATCCACCAGGATATACAACCCTAACCTGAATAATCATGTTGCTTGTCACTCCAGCCCTTATCCATTGTTTGCTATCCCCATGTGTTAGCACTTCAGAGCAGTGACCAGGTCTATCGGTACTGTAAAGTGCCTAACATATTTGAGAGTGTTGTAAAACTAGTAACAACAACCATCTGTAAAGTCACATAGAACATCTTCCTGCCAATACAAGATAAAGACTGTTCTCTGTCCCAAAATTCGTTCTTTAAGAGTTCCGTAGTTTAAAAGGTGTGTGCCAGGCACATGCAGGGTGTAATTTTGTATTATATTAAAACATATAACAACC